TTGTATATCTCTGCATATGAACTGGCCTTGTGGCCATTTGCTTGTGCTCAGAATGTGTGGTGACTTTGTGATCCACCCTGAGCTTGCTTCACTTTTCATGACTGCTCTTGTGACCACAAGTTCTCCCCCACTTTGCCTATGGGGGTGTATCAAACTATATTGATGTTTATATTGTGTAGGCTGTAGTGGGGTAGCTCATAAGGTGTACAACCTATATCTAGGGTTAGTACTTGTACTCACATTTCTCCTTCAATGCATCATTCTACTGCTAGATTCTAACATCCATCCCTTCGCCTTTCACCCAGTACGTTCGCTTTGTCAACCCAGCCTTTGAACATTTTCGTGCTTAATTCACCAACAGTTTCATTCACTTTGGGGTGGTGACAACCACGTAGTGGAGATTCAGAACATATATAATAATTTCCCCACCATCCCATCCCGCTCCTTCCCTCTGTCTTCCCTTCCCTTCCTCCATTCTCGTTCCTTACTCCAATCCAGTACGCTTGCTTTGTGAAGCCAACCTTCGATGATTTCGTCCTCCCAAAAAAAAAAAATCGCTGACATCATCATTCCCGAGGTGGAGACAACCACATGGCAGCGAACCTCATCGTACAGCACATGGGGTCCAAGCTGGGGCAGCATGATTTGAGAAAGGTTTACAGCAATGTTCATGTTATAGAGTTAACCTTCCAGGTGTGTGGTGAAGTGTAATGTGGTTTGATGCGGTATGGAGTGGTATGGTGCGGTGCAATGTTGTGTGCTTCGGTGTGGGGCGGTAACAACCACGAGGCAGTGAACCTGATAGTGAAGCACATAGGGTCCAAGCTTGGACAGCACGACCTGAGGAAGACCTACAGCAACGTACACGTTATAAAGTCCACCTTCCAGGTATTTTAAGAGCACCTGGTGAACCTGATAGTGCATCACATAGGGTCTAAGCTGGGGCAACACGACCTAAGGTTAATGTTCAACAACGTACACGTTATAGATTTTATGTTCCGGGTAACAACACTTCGAGAAACTGGTAATGCAGCATGTATGTAGGTCTGCTGGGGCAGCAGGACTTGAGGGAAGGTGTGGTGCGGTGTGGAGCGGTGCAGTATACTGTGCTGCTGTGTGGGGTGGCAACAACTGTGTGTTTGTGCGTGTGTGCATGTGTTTGCGCACATGTTTGTGCTTGTGTGTACGTATGCTAATATATGTGTGTGTGTGTGTGTCTGTGTGTGTGTGCACGCACACATGTGCTTGCACATTATACACATCTATGTTCCCCCACTCTCTCCCTCTCCTTGTTATTGCTGCCAGGGGATTCACACACACGCTCATTTGCAAGACAGATACCAAGAAGTGAAACTTGTTTGCCTCCTGTATTACTCCCACACTTCATTTTCATCCCTCCCCTCCCCCTTCTTTTCCTCAACCCCCCTTTCTTTGTGGCAGACATGTGAGGGGCGTGCACACACTCGTTGGCATCAGGGACACTATGAAGATGTTTGCCTCCTTTTTGCCTTATCCACACTCCACCACCCCAACCCCTTTCACTCCAACCGCTATTAGGTGGAGGGATTGCACACTCTCATTCGCAACAGGGACACCAAGAAGCCTCATGAGTCGGCTCAAGAGTTGTCCCCCGTAGGTGCGGGGCATGCACATGCTGATCCGCAACAGGGACACCAAGAAGAACAACTTAGTGTTTTACACCGACCTTCTCATTCGCCTCGAAAGTTGCATTCGCTCCGGACGTCCCTTTGGGATCGATTTGTCCAGGAGCATAGGTTGTTGCACCACCTCGCTTTCACAATCAGTTTTTCCTCATGGCCTCAAGTCTGTTTCCCTCCATGTTCTCTTCCCTCCTCTTACCTCCTCTTCCCTCCTCTTCCCTCCTCTTCCCCTCGTCTTACCGTCCTCTTCCCCTTCTTCTTTTTCCCCGATGCTCACATCAACTGGTGTAGCATGGGTTGGTCTGCCTCCCTTTCACAATTCCAATACTCTCAAATTTTATTCCCACCTCTTCCTCTCCTCTTCGCCACCTCCTCCCCTCCTCTTCGCCTCCTCTTCCCCTCCTCTTCCCCTCCACTTTCCTTCCTCTTCCCCTCCTCTTCCCCTCCACTTTCCTTCCTCTTCCCCTCCTCTTCCCCTCCACTTCACTTCCTTTTTCCTTCTTCTTCCTCTTCCCCCCCCATCACCCCCATCAGCTAGTGGAGCACGGGCTAGGCCACCTCCCTTTCACTGAAATTCAAGTCACCACCCCCACAGGTGAATAGCACCGGATTTTGAGGCGCCTCAAAAGTCAACCCCACGGGTGAGTAGCACTAGATTGTCACAGCTGCACCCAGATCGTACTACGCTTACTTGCCTTCTATTTCAACCCACCCCACTTTTCAACCGCCTTTGTCTTAATGCAGTTTAAGTCACCTTCCCTACATCTTTCAGATATTCTTGGGAATTTCGGGAGAAGACACCTTAGGAGCTGCTCTTGGGTCATCTTAGGCGTAAGCTAGGTCTTGCCTTCCCCCTCTCTTCCCATCCTTCCCCTCTCCATCCACATTCAGGCTCAACATACGTGGGTATCAACTTTAGCAAGAAGCTATATGGAGTGTCCATAATTTGCAGGTAGGTATGGTATGGCCTACGCGTAGTTTAGTTTTGAGGCGCCTCAAAGCTGGAGTGTCCAATTCGCAGGTTGTTACGGCCTATGCGTACGGGGAGTGTGGGGTACTAGGCATTTTTTGTTAAGCTGAAGTATGTAATTGTGTATATGCACTCATGTTTTCTCTGTGGAGTGTCCACTATGCGGAGGTATGGCCTACAGGGTGTGCTTGTGGGATGCTAGACATGCTTCGTGTGTTTCTTTTTGTCTCTATGTGTCTATGGCAGTGGCGAGAACATGGAGAACTCGCTGAGAGCGTGCTGCCTGCCTGCAATGGAGTGAAGAACGATGCTCATCTGAACCCATGTGCGGGTATGCCCCTTTTGGGGCGCCTCAAAAGTATATGCCCCTTCTCCGTGTCTACCCCTCCATTCTATGGCAGTGGCGAGAGCATGGAGTATGCATTAAGAGCATGCTGCAAGGGAGTGAAGATTGGGAAGATACTAATTCACAGAGAGGGGGACTATGGCAAGCAGGTGAGGATTGAACTTAAAGCCTTAGATCCGTTCTGTGCAACATGGACATGCATGTCAGCACCATTGGATGGTGCAGCAACGGCGTGCTGAAAGCAAGGGAGTGAAGATTGGGAATATACAGATTCACAGGGAGGGGGACTATGGCAAGCAGGTGAGGAACAAATTCAGATCCTCGTGCGTGCACCCATGTGTGCATCATGCTTTGTTTGTTTCTGCGTGTCGGGAGTGAAGATTGGGAAGATACGCATTCACAGAGAGGGGGATTATGGCAAGCAGGTGAGGAACAAATTCAGATTCTACTGTGTATGCGTGTGTCCATGCATTTCTGTAGTGTGTATGCGTGCGTGCATGTGTTTGGATATTGTGTATGCATGTGTGCATATGTTTGTGTAGTGTGCAGGCATGTGTGCGTGTGGTTGTGTAGTGTGTATGCATGTGTGCACCATGTGTGCATCATGCTTGATTTGTTTCTGCATGCTGCACGGAAACAGCTTTCTTACGTGCCATTCACCATGTGAGCGTGTGATTGTAACAAGATGAGATGACTTCCTGAGGTCTCGAGGTGACTTCTGAGTCCACTCAAAAGTGACTTCCAGAGGTCTCGAGGTGACTTTTGAGTCCACTCAAAAGTGACTTCCTGAGGTCTCGAGGTAACTTTTGAGTCCACTCAAAAGTGACTTCCTGAGGTCTCGAGGCGACTTTTGAGTCCACTCAAAAGTGACTTCCTGAGGTCTCGAGGTGACTTTTGAGTCCACTCAGGGCGTATTCCTGGCTTCGGGTCATCCCGGCTTCATGTCATCCGAAATTTGCGGTATCCAATCGAAAAATTCAAATTTCGAACCGCGGGTTTTTCGATTGGCTACCTTAATTTTCGGATGACACAAACACCGGATGACCCGAAGCTAGGAATACGCCCTCAAAAGTGACTTCCTGATGTCTTTTTCAGCAATGTCTTCTTTCCGTAATCTGTTCCCCATGCTGCCCCAACCCTCCCCTCTCTCCCCCCTTCCCATCCCCACCAGCTCATATTCAAGACCTCCCCCCCCTCTTCTACTCTCCCTTACCTTCCTCTCTTGTTGTCCCCTCCCCCTTCTTCCATTCCCCACATCAGCTCATATACGAGAAGCTCCCACGAGACATCAATCAAAGGCATGTGATGCTGCTCGACCATGTTCTCGCCTCAGGTGAGGCTTTGCATGCCTGTAGGCTGCTCATTCCCGCTGCCTCCTTCGTTGGTTGCAGGGTCGAGCAGCATCACATGGCTGCTCGACCCTGTTATCGCCTCCATCTCGCCTATAAACTGCTCATTCCCGCTGCCTCCTTCGTTGGTTGCACAACAAGGGGGGTCCCGCCTCCCGTCTCTTTCCTCTCTCGCCAAGAGCATCCCGCTGATGTATGTGATGTGACGCTGCTAGATGTGCTGGCATCAGTTAGTGGGTACTATGCAGTTTGAACTCGTTAATTCCAGCAGTATCTGGGTATGCCAACTCGTAGGCAGGCAAAGGCAGCTGGGTCTCTTGAGTTGGCATACCCAGAGTGTCAAGTGGGTGGCTATGAAGTTTGCTCTATATTACAACTTTCCACTTTTGCCTGCGTAGTGCTTACTTGTACTCTTTGTTTACTACCGAGAAGCTGACCTATACACTGCCCTTCGATCTTATTAATGTGCTGCCCTCTTTGTCTCTTGCCTTGCCTTGTTCTCTCCCCTCCAGGCCACTCTGCCATAAAGGCCATTGAGCTGCTGCTGCACCGAGGGGTGCCTGAAGAGAAAATAATCTTTCTCAACCTCATCTCGGTGAGTTATCAGGAGGGGTGGAGAGAGTATTCAATTTTATTATCTCAAACGATTATTTTGGCAGAGTGCAGAGCGGTAATTAGTGGTGAAGAGGGTAACCAGCAGTGATGTTCATTACCCCTTCATCTTCACTATCTTCCCCCCTCCCTAGTTTCCTGTCGTCACACTCCATGTTGTCACACTCCATGTCGTCACACTCCATGTCGTCACACTCCATGTCGTCACACTCCATGTCGTCACACTCCATGTCGTCACACTCCATGTCGTCACTCTCCATGTCGTCACGCTCCATGTCGTCACACTCCATGTCGTCACACTCCATGTCGTCACGCTCCATGTTGTCACGCTCCATGTTGTCACACTCCATGTCGTCACACTCCATGTTGTCACACTCCATGTCGTCACACTCCATGTCGTCACAGTCCATGTCATCACACTCCATGTTGTCACTTCTTGTCAGAATGAAGAATGGATGATGCATTGATGTTGGTTGGGGTACATATAGCTAACCCTAAGTTTTGTACCTCCTAAGACAAACCTCACTATAGGCTACAACATTTGACACACCCCCATAGCCTAAGTGAGGGGTGTCTAGCAGAACCAAACGAGTACGGTCACAAGACCAGTCCAAGAAACGAAGCTCAGGGTGGATCACAACGTCACCACACAGTCTGAGCACAAACAACAGTGGCCACAAGGCCAGTCCAAGAAGTAACAGAGATATATAGAAAGCAAAGTAAACAGTACACTCAAGTCTAAGCAACACGAGAACCAGTGTCAACAAGGCCTAACTGCACACAGCACCTCTGGTGGTCACAAGGCGGAAGCGCCTTGGTGAAGATGTCTGCAGTGTTGGCCTCGGACTCCACAAACTCAAAGCGAGCCTGTCCACGCCTCTGCAACTCTCGCAGAAGAAAGTACCTGACGTGAATGTGCTTCACTCTGCTCTCCAGTCGTGGCTCTCGACAAAGGAGAATAGACGCCTTGTTGTCAGTGAACAAGGTCGGTGCAGAGCTCGGCCGCTCACCAAGGTCGGTGAGCAAGAAGGTCAACCAACGCAGCTCCTGTGCCGCCATGGCACCAGCGTAGATCTCAGCCTCAGCTGTAGAGGTCGAGACCGAAGAGGAGCGCGTGGACCGCCAGGAAACAGCTCCAGAACCCAGGCTGAAACAGTACCCCTGAGTAGACCTGTGAGTCTCAGCGTCGTCAGCGTAAGAGGAGTCACAGTGACCAGTAAGTACGACAGACTGCTGCCCTCCAAGAACTAGCCCCACGCCTGATGTCGTCGCTAGGTACTTCGCCACCCTCACAGCTGCTGTCCAGTGAACAGGACGGTGTCTCCCTGGCGCAACAAAGCGCGCAAGAACGCTGAGAGGGAAGGCGAGGTCCGGGCGAGTACAAGTCATCAGGTACATGAGGCAACCCACAAGCTCTGCGTAGGGACCACTAGGCTCGAACGGCTCGTCAGGAAAGGGTCCAGTGAGTCTGTGGTCAACAGCAAGAGGTGTGCGCTGTACTGTGGAGTGCTGAAGCCCGAACCGCTGAAGGACCTGCTGCACCATGTGTGACTGTGAAAGTGTAATGGTGCGAGCAGCTCTGTCCCTGGTGATCTGCAGGCCAAGGTAGTGGCGCAGCTCACCAAGATCAGTGCAGGTGTGTCTCTTCTGCAGTTCGGACTTCACGTGTGCCAAAGCAACCCTGTCAGGGGTGGCGAAAACAAGGTCGTCAACGTAGACCAGAACAAAGAAAGGTGTGGGGCCACGACGAACGAACAGCGACGGGTCAGCAGAAGACGGCTGGAACCCAAGGTCAGACAGGGTAGAACGCAGGGTGTCGTGCCACTCACGAGGAGCCTGACAAAGTCCGTAAACCGGTCGCCTCAGCCTCCACTGGGTCCCAGGAGGGAAAGAGCCAGTGAAGGCAGAGGGACGACGCAACCAGACCTCCTCGTGAAGACTGCCCTGAAGGAAAGCAGTAGAGAAGTCGAGAGAGTGTAACTCGTAGTCTCTCTGTGCTGCTACGTGTAGTAACACCCGAAGAGTGGTCATCTTCGGGGTGGGCGCGAAGGTCTGAAAGAAGTCAACTCCCTCGCGCTGACTGAAACCTCTAGCCACGTAGCGCGCCTTGAAGACCGGAGGAGATCCCGGTGGCCGCTTCACCCTGTAGATCCACATGCCGTCGACTACGTTCGCCCCCGGAGGGGGAACCTCATCGACGTAGGTGCCTGTGGATCTGTAGGAGGCCATCTCTGCATCCATGGCAGCTCTCCACTGAGAGGCCCAAGGCCCTGACACTGCCTCAGCGTAAGTGCGAGGAGTCGGAATGTCAAGGGCGTCGGGGTCACCCTCAGGGGCGAGGAGCATGGCACAGAGATGAGGGGAAGCGGCCGCCAGGAACTCTAGCTCAAACTGCCTGTCCTCTAGGGCGTCACAGCCAAGGGCAGACACACCCCCGACGGCCAGAGGACTGGAAGGAGGAGCAGCCACAAGAGCGGTGGCGAAGTCAAGGCGGCGGGTAGAGGCAAACTCAGTGACTGCGGCAGTAAGAGCGGACACAGAGGACACAGAGGCACGAGGGTGGGTAACAAGAGAGGCGAGAACACGAGAGAGAACAGGACGGTACGTGCGGTAGTAGTCAGTGACAGGAGTAGGAAGCGACGCAGTGAGGGCCGACTCAGGAGGAGACGGAAGCACAGACGGAGACGGACGAGGTGGACGAGAACAAAGGAAGGCTGTACGAAGGTCAGTGAAGGGAACAGGAGACGAGGGACGAGCACGAGGGGAGCGACGAGAGGCCCAAGTCTGAGAAGGAGGAGGAGACAACGAAGACTGAGAACGAGGGAAAACAGCGGGAGAGGGGTCAGGAGGAGGAAGCGGAGGACCAGAGACGGGAGGAGAGGGGGAGGAGGAAGGAGAGGGAGAGGGGAGACCAAGGGTCCGAAGACCCGAGACAGGAGGAGGAGACGGCAGCAGCTGCTGCTGCTGCTGCTGCGGCTGCTGCTGCTCCAGCGGCTGCTGCCCCTGCTGCTGCTCCTGCTGCTGTCGCTCCTGCTCCTCGAGCCGCTGCAACTCTCTCTCCTCTCTCTCCAACTCCAGCTGCTCCTCACGAGCACGGCGAACACGAGCCTGGAACCTGGTCGGGTAGGGGTGGGGGGAAGGAGTAGTGTCCGGGGCAGCGGCAGCCCCAGAGTCGACCTCCGAAGCACCAAGCACACCACCCCCAGAGGCAGCACCAACACCAGCTCCAGACCCAGGCTCTCCAGAAACCGAAGGGACACCCTCACCCCCAGACGCAGCACCCCCAGACTCCGCACCAGCACCCCCAGACTCCGCACGACCAGTACCAGCCCCCGGAAGACAAGAGTCCTCTGCAACCCGCGGCTCAGCTCCAACTCCAGCACCCCCAGAACCAGAGACCTGTACAGGGACAGTCGCAGGACCAACCTCCCGAGAGGGAGCACCTGCAGGAGGCGGCGAGGAAGACTGTGGGGAGGGAGGCTGTACAGGGGGGGCTACCGAAGGGGGAGGGCTAGCCTGAGACACACCAGACGGGGCTGGACCAGGGGGGGGAGGCTGTACCGGGGGAGCAGGCGGGGGAGCGGCGGTCAGGAAGAGAGGGGGGGGAGGGACCGGGAGACCTCGACTGGGGTACCTGACGTAGTAGGGGGTGGACTCCTCGAAACGGACGTCACGGGAGTCAAAGAACCGGTGAGAGGGAGGGTGGTAAAAGGTGAAGTCAGAGGAGTCCTCAGGGAAACCAAGGAAGACACAAGGAACGGCGCGAGGCGAGAGCTTGTCCGCGGAGGTGTCGCGGACAAGAGCCAAGCACCCCCAGACACGAAACCTCGACGCGACACCAGGGGACCCTGTCCAAAGACTGGTCGGTGAAGCCTCCGGCCGAGAGACGCGTGGCCAGAGGTTCAGCTGGTGCGCGGCGTACCTGACCGCGTATGGCCACAGGAAATGGGGGGCACGGGCGTGAGTCAAGGAGGTGCGGGCAATCTCCATGACCAGGCCTATGCGACGCTCAGCAACCCCATTCTGCTGTGGGGACTCCGGAAGCGTCCAGGACTGACGAATGCCCTGTTCGCGACAGAATCCAGCGAGAATGCCGGAGCAAAACTCACCCCCGCGGTCGGAGTGGAGACAGCTGACACGACGACCACGAGTGTCCTGGGTGGTAAGCAACCACCTGATCAGCGTAGAAGTCACCTCAGACTTCCTTGCCAGGGGGAACACTGTGGTGTAGCGGGAGTAGTCGTCAACGACCACCAAAAAGAAACGCTCACGCTCAGGGCCAGGGCGAGGAGAGGGGCCCCAGACGTCCAAGTGCAGCGTCTCAAAAGGCTCGGTGGCCGGACGAAGGGAGGAGGAGTGAGGGGTGGCGCGCAGCCTACCCTCGACGCAAGGACCGCACGGTGGTGCAAGGGACGGCGGCAGCGACGGCAAGACACGCGGGAGACCTAAGACAAGACGCTGACGAGACATAGCGCGAAGACGAGGAGGAGAAGGGTGCCCCAGCCGGTGGTGCCACAAAACGGTGGGGTGGGCAAGCGACCGACAGGAGCACGACGCAGCGACCGGACTAGACGGAGGAACCTGACAAGACACAGCTACCTGGGGGGACGGAGCAACCTGGTGAGACGCGAGGACTCGAACGGGGGGCAAAACAGGGGCCGGGGGCAGGAGGGGCGGCTGTGGCTGCGGCTGCGGCTGCTGCTGCTGCTGCTGCTGCGGCTGCTGCTGCTGCTGCTGCTACGGCTGCTGCTGCTGCTGCAGTCGCTGCTGAGCGCGCGGGCCAGTGTGAAGAGTGTAGAGACCGGAGCCCGGCTCAGCAGCAAAAGTGGCGAGGGGCTGGTAAGAGTCCCCGTCAACACACACCGCAGTCTCTCCAGAAGGCTCAAACCACACACCCACGTGCTGACTCACGAGGGGTCGCACGCCCACCAAGTTCCGGGAGAACGAGGGGACGTGAAACCCAGTGAGAGACCCAGAAGGAGCAGCCGGACACGGCAAGGTGGTAGTGTGACGCGCGGTGACTGGTCCCGAAGTGGGATCAGCCAGCGCCACAGAAACAGGCGCAGGAAGAGGCGTAAGTGTCGTGCTGTCACGAAAGAAGCAGTGAGAGGCTCCAGAGTCCAGCGTGAACGACAGCGAACCGTCCTCTGAGGTAGCCGCTGGACTAGAGTCTACACAAGAACCTACACTAGCAACAGGCAACTGAGCAAGGCTAGCACCTAAGCTAACAACACCAGAGTAAACAGAGTCAGAAACACTAGAGTCAACAACAGCATACATAGCATGGGGACTACCAATCAGATCAACTAACTGCTCAGCAGACATGCCCCACAGAGCGGAGCCGTAACGCTGAACAAGAGGCAGCCAGTCAGGGGCAGGAGCACCAACCCCGTAGACCAAACGAACCGTGTCAGTGAGCTGAGCAAAGCACTGACCAGGGGGGTGAAACCGGCCACAAGGGTGGCCACGACGAGTGCCTGTCAGAACCTGGTAGGTGCAGGGAGTGTAAGCAGCACCGCGCTGGGTCTGACGCAGCCCCGACCCTGGAGCCAGCTGCTGCCGCTGCTGCTGCTGAGGCTGCTGGGAGGAGAGGGGCTGCTGGTGCTGCAGAAGCTGCTGCTGACGCTGAGCCTGGTACCACGCCGCTGCTCCACCAACCGGGGCAGGAAGTACAGGAGGCGACTGACGAACTCGGGCGTCGCCACCACCAGCAGGCGCAGTGGAGTCACCAGTCACTGCACGAGGCGCCTCTCCAGGCCCTGAACCTCCACCGCCGCCAGGCGCAACGCCACCTTTACTACCTCCGCCTCCACCTCCACTACCACCACCAGAACCGCCTTTCTTGCCACTCCTACCGCGGGACCGCGACGCAGTCGTAACAGCAGCTGCAGTCGCGTCAGTAGCGGCAGTGGCAAGTGAGGCAGTAAAGGTGGGTAACTGCGGGACTGTGCACCCGTGGAAGAGTGGGGGGGGCACAGCACCAGAGGCAGCGGCTACCGAGCGAAGGTTGCTCTCGACGTCCTTGAGTGCAGACTCAAGGACCTCGACGGTGAGCTCACTAGGGTGCTTCAGCAGAAGCGCGTCGCGAACGGAGGCAAGGCGGTCAGGGAGGCTAGTGGCGATGAAATAGATAGTAATCGCCATAGGGGGAGGAAGCAGTGCAAGCTGTGCCTCAGTGCAAGCAGCGCGGTAACTAGCGTCGAGCGAGCGGAGGTGAGCGATCAAGTCAGCAGAGCGCTCAAAAGACGCTAGGTCAGGAAACAGGAACGGGAGGAACAGGCGGCCAAGAGAGACAGCAGCGGGAGTAGAGTAGCGGGCCTTAATCGCAGTGAGGTACTCAGCAGCGGTGCGAACCTGAGTGAAGTGAACCTCCTCAGACTCAGGGAGGAGGCTGCTGAGCGCGATGCAGGCCGCAGCGTCACGTGACGTCCAAGCCGTCTGGTCAGCTCGCTGAGTGGCAAAGCGGGCTCTAGCGGCGTCGTCAGGGGCAGGTCCTAAAGGCGTAGGGTCGGGGGGCGCAGGTAGGGCACCAGTAGCGTGCGCCCAGAGGGTCTCGCCTGCCTGGACCTGACTCTCTAACAGACGGCGAGCACGAAGAAGCCAGACGGAAAAATCAAGAGGTCTACCGTCAGCGTCGAAACGAAGGACACGCTGAGTCGCCATAGTGAAAACGAACGCGAACGGAGAGGGAGGGGACAGCAGTAGGTGAGAGGCAAATTAGGGTTCGGCGGTACTCTGGGACAGGGGAGGAGCGGACGCCACAGCGGGCGTGACAGCGGGAGGTAACAGGGGACTAAGCAGCGGGGAACGGGAACGGGCGCAGCGGCGGGCGATGGCAGCGCGCTCGGCAGCAGGGGCCAGCAGCGCGCGCAGCGGGCGACGGCAGGGGGCGCAGCGGCGACGCGCGCAGCGGCGGGCGACGACGGCGGGGCCGCGGCGAGGCGCGCAGGGGGCGGGCGACGGCGGCAGGCGCGGCGGCGACGAGCGCGGTCGCGAGCGACAGTGGCGGGCGCTGCGGGGACGGGCGACGCGACGGGGGGAGAGGGCGGGAGCGACGGGACAGGAGGAGGGCGACGCGACGGGGGGAAAGGGGCGGGTGCGACGGGACAGGGGGAGGGCGACGCGACGGGGGGAAGGGGCGGGCGCGACGGGACAGGGGGAGGGCGACGCGACGGGGGGAAAGGGGGGGCGCGACGGGACAGGGGGAAGGCGACGCGACGGGGCGAAGGAGCGGACGCGACGCGACGGGGGGAGCGCGACGCGACAGGGGGAAAGGGACGGGCGCGTCTCGAGGGGGGGGAAGGCGACGCGACGGGGGGGCGGGCTACGCTACGAACGAGAGCGTGGGTCGTTGCTAGGCTCGGTAACAGCTGGAACGATACGAACGAGAGCGTGGCTCGGCGCTAGGCTCGGTAACAACGAGAAGGAGACGAACGAGAGCTAGGATCAGGCTCGGGTGGTACGAACGGAGAACGGCGGAACGGGATCCCACAGGATCCTAACCTAACTGATACCATGTCAGAATGAAGAATGGATGATGCATTGATGTTGGTTGGGGTACATATAGCTAACCCTAAGTTTTGTACCCCCTAAGACAAACCTCACTATAGGCTACAACATTTGACACTTCTCCCTTTCCCTGCCTTCCCTGCCCCCACTCTACCGCCTCCCTTCCTTCCTTCCCCCTTCCACCCCCCTTCCCCCAGGCACCAGAGGGCATTCACAACGTGTGTCGGCGCTTGCCCCACCTGAAAATAGTGACCTCAGAAATTGACTTGGGGATTAACCAAGAGAACTGATTCGGGGAAGGATGGGAGAGTGACGTGGGGAGTAACAAGGAGTGCAGAGTGGTGTCCGCGCCTCCCTCATCTTGAGATCCCTGTGTCTTCTTCCCTCGCTGCCCTTCCATTGCCCGCCTCTACCTATCCACACCCACCCAACTTTCCCTACCCCAGGTACCAGAGGGCATTCACAATGTGTGCCGGCGCTTCCCTCACCTCAAGATTGTGACATCAGAAATCGATTCGGGGATTAGAGGAGTACAGAGATGGGCGAGTTTGGGGATAGGTACTTTGGCACAGAGGAGGGGGATGCTGGGAGGGATGAGGATGCTGATGGTGATGCTTTTGAGGCGTCCTGAGGTGTAGGGAGGCGTGGGATGCTGTTGCAGGGATTGAGGAGGAGTTGATAGTGGTGCCGGGGATAAGGGAGTTTGGAGACTGCATTTGATGATGAAGAGGATGGTAGTTTAGGGACGATGGGAAGGATGGTGGTGATTGTGATGGCGATGTTTTTGAGGCTAGTGGGGAGGGACGAAGGCGGGGAGGGTGAGGAGGAGAGGAGGAATAAAGTTAGCTCTTGTTGCGACTGTTGCTGTCATTTTCGGTGGTGGCTGCTAGTGCTGCCAGCATATGTCATGGTTGGAACATTCGGGACAGCATAAACATGATTTGTTGCATGGGGATAATAGGTAATAGAGGGGTTGCCATGTCGCATGATAGTCAATGGTGGCAGCTAATCCATATGTCATTGTCATCTGAAAATGGGCTTTCCTTGATGGCTCAGTGCTTGAAACTTGTGTTAAAGCCGGCGCCTAGAATGGCAAGGGCTCAAATATATACTGAACTTGAAATGAGTTCAACGAAGGTTAACGAGAGTCACAATTGCCAGAGTCAGCTGGCGAAGGTTGATCGCACCACAGTAGCACGTCAGAAAATACATATCAGGCAAAGCCCACCATCAGGAAGCAAAGGAAGTGAGATCGAGAACAATGTACTGGTTCCATATAGTGCGTTAAACTAGGCTTTCAAGTTTTTTTTACGGGTACACACTGTGCATCTGACCAGCAGGAGCATCAACAGTTGCAGCGATTCCCCCAAACGAGCTCACGACACGGGAAAATCGATGACCAAATGCAAGAAAACCTTTTGAACTGTAGAGGCAGTGCCACTGTCGTGATGCATTGTTGTCATCGCGAAACTCGTTGACGTTCGCTTGTTCGTCGTCAGCTGACAGCTGTTGCCAGGTTGTCTTGTCCGCATGACCAGAGTTATCCCTCCCGCTGACCAGTCAAAAACTGTCGGCGCATTTTGATGTACTTTTGTTATTCTGACCCTGCCCGACATATTTGCACACGGGTTTTGTCTTTGTAAATGTAATTATGGCTGGGTACAAATCGGTTCCGAGACGGAGACGGAGTGCAAAATCAATGTTTTTTTTCAGTGCGGAAAAACGACGACCTTTTGGAGAAAGAAATGCATCCAAAAGTTTCCTGGTCTGGGCTGGGGTGGTCTCCGCGGACCGCGACCCACTCTGTGTATGGTCTGACCAGTCTGCCCCTCACACTTCCGCTTTGTGTGCGCGCGCCCACTGGGAACTGTTTTTTCGAGCCTTGCACATAAATACCACCGCCGCATTCACTTCTTCACCAGCACACCACATTCCAGCATTACAGCTCAGATAACAGCCGCTGCTCGTAGGTTGATTTCAGAAATCGACTATTCTCGACGCAACTTGCTTCTATCGTCTGCCACGATGACGCGCGCCGGTCTTATTCCTCTCCTCGTCCTGCTCCTAGTCGCCCCTGGTATGCTCGTAGCTCAGAAGAACTCGTCATCGACCAATTTCTTCCAGTCTAGTAGACTCCTACTACGCATTGTTTGTTCGAAAAAAATATTTGGCCAGCGCCCTCTTTCCTTGAATGTCGAAGGTCTTACTTCGGGTCTCTTCACGGCTTTGTCAATATAATGTCGTTTTTTTTCATTGCGCCGCCTGCGCAGTTCTCGGTCACAGGGGAGGTGGCGGCGGTGGTTTCGGCGGAGGCCGCGGCGGAAGGGGCCCGCCGATCGATGCGTCCGTCACGGGCAATCTCACAGGTGCGACGAATGCACCGCCTGAGCACGCACCCTTCCGACGGATTCATCACTCCCTTCACAATACGATCCCGATTATCTTTTCTGAACTTCCCGTTCACTATTTGTAGTCAACGTGTGCGCTGATCTCATTCTCCCTCTCCCGAACTCCCTCTTCCCCCTCTCCTCCCCTCCTCCCCCACCTCCCCCTTTTCCCCCTCCCGCACCCATTCGTATCCTCCGCAGGTCGCGTGGGCGCGTGGGTCTCCAACTGCACGGCGGACATCGGCGCGACCCGCGGAAAGTTCCTGCTCGCGGTCTTTAAGGACGAATCGTCGGGCACGCCCGTCTACAACCTCTATTTCGACGCCGATCTCGACGAATACGACGGCACCGCTCCCGACACGATCAGCATCGTGCAGGGCGCCGCGTGCGACTCGACCGCCACCGCCGCTCTCTCCCTGCCGTCCACCGGCTGGGCCACCGAGACGCGCGGCGGTCGCGGCGGCTGGGGCGGCGGCGGCGGGTCGCACACGGAGCTGCGCGTGACGGGCACCGTGGAAGGAGCGGACGCGACGGTCGTCGAGGCGCTTCTCGCGGGCGTGCCGAACGCGACGGTGACGCAGAACGCGTTCACTAAGGTGATTAACGGCGCGAGGCAGGGCTTCCAGAACGCTTTCGGCGGACGCCGCCGCGGGCGCGAGCTTGCGGGGAACAGCGCGGGGAAGCTGACGCAGCAGTTCCTGAAGCGCCAGCGCGCGCGCCTGGCGTGGATGGGCGCCAAGACCAAGGCGCTGTTCGCGACGTTCATCGGGACCACCGACACCACGACTGACTCGCCCTACGCGGTCATTTTTACCGACAGCACGACCGGCAACTCCTGGAGCGCCGCGCTCACTGGGAACTTCGGCAAGTGTGGCGGTCGCGGGCGTGGTGGTCACGGGCCTGACGGTGACGGCGATGGCCCTGGTGGCGCTGGTGGTGCTGGTGGCCGTGGTGGCCGTGGCGGCCGTGGTGGTGGCTATTGAGATGCTATGAATTCAACTGAAATGTGGAGGCGGTTTTGATTCAAGCGTGGATCACGGAAAGGAGTGCTAGCATGTCAGGGGAATACGGCGTTGGGGGAGGGGACAACCGGAATTGGGATTAGAGGGGAAGGGGAAGGGGAGAAGAGTGAGGGGAAGGGTGGGGGGATGTGGGGGTTTGTTCACGTGGGGTCTTCGGTCGACTTTTTGAGAAACCTGGTGATGGACGCTTCGTTATTGTCCTCTAGAGTCGACCCAAGACAACCACTTTTGTGTGTTTTTATTGTTGAGTGGCAAAATGGATTGAAATGAATTGCACGCACGCCTTATAGTTGGTTCATATTCTGGAATCACTACCGCAAACTCTCTTGACTGCACCTTCCATTTACCCGAAAGCAAATGATGAAGAATTATGTTAATGTTACAACTTCTAATGCTTGTCCCAAAGAGCATCAACACATTGGCCTCTTCACTGGTGCTTAGCTTTACTGAACCGCACCAAAAGCAGAAACGTGACAAACCGCACAAACACCCCAAAACCCAGCAGCACCGCAACATTCTCCCACATGTCTAGCTGATTCACCGCCAGTGTAGTTGTTAGCAGCTGCGGCCCGTCCCGCAAACACGTGCTTATAGTGATTTTGCTGTAAGGGGTACCAGCCAGCACCTGCCGCATCCCTATCATGGCCTTGTTGATTCTGGTTGCGTTTAGATACGGCGCCACTGGTGTATTATCGAACATTGTGCCAGCTTCCAAGTAGCAGGGACCTCCAGGCCTGGCGGGGTGATTCAGGGGAGAAACGGAGATTGGGGATTGGGAGTGAAGGGTGTGAGACGGTGGAAAAAGATGGTGAGGAGTGGGAGATGGTGGGGAAAGTTTGTGAAAAGCAGGAGATGGTGAGATATGATGGTGAGATATGATATCCACCCAGACGTGAGCGCCGATTTCTCACCTGCCAAACTCATTGATTGCCAGGGCCTCGTAGTGCAGCCAGGCCCAGCCGTCCGGGATGGCATTCCACTGCATACCACTCACTGTCACCCTCAGCACACAGGTTAGACCTGTCCCCTCACCTGCCAAACTCGTTAATCGCCAGCGCCTCGTATGCGTACTTCATGGGCGAGAGGTAGTGCAGCCAGACCCAGCCGTCCGGGATGGCATTCCACTGCATACCCCACCCACTGTCACTCTTAATAGGTGTAACTCTGCTCCTCACCTGCCGAACTCGTTGATTGCGAGCGCCTCGTACGCATACTTCATGGGCGAGAAGTAGTGCAGCCAGACCCAGCCGTCTGGGATGCTCTCCCTGTCGATGTAGAACCCGCTGAGGAGAGCAAAGTATGCCATGAGAGCAATGGCCACTGCATAGGCCAGCACTACACTGCATAGAGGGTAGAAAAGGCACAGGGAGGGAGGAGGGGAAGGGAATGATTGAGGCTGTGCACACAGAGACAAAGACACGTCCGGATGCTCTGCCTGTCCATGTAGAGCCCACTGAGCAGAGAAAAATATTCCATGACAGCGATGGCCACTGCGTAGGCCAGGACAACGCTTAAATGGGATGAGGGGTGATGACAGACAAGCGGAGAAGGAGCAGAAAGAAATGAGATATGCAATAGGTTGACAAATATGGGGAGGGGGAAATGTCAGGAGGAAAGAAGGGAGGAGAATAAGGAAAGTATACTTCAAACTCACTTTTTCTCGCAAATGCTACGAAGCAAACCTGTTCTAAAACATGCCTGTTCAGCACATTTCATAAAACTCGAAACTCACTGGTTGACGCAGATGCTGACACACGTAGCGATGGCATTCCCAGTGAAAAGCATGGCGAAGCACGCAAGCACCATGAAGCAGAATCCCTCAGGTCCCCCCTGCAGGCCCAGGCACCACCAGGCCTCGAGCACGAGCGTGAGTGCCATAAGCAGATGTAGGGGGAGATAGACGAGGGTGGAGGAGAGGAGGTACGTGGACGGGCGGTACGCGCTGCTGCTGGTCTCCCGGAGAAAAATGTTCCGCTCCTGAGAAGGGGGGAGAGAGGGTTTGGGGGTTGGGAGGTGGGGAGAAAAGGCAGGAGGTAAAGGGTGAGCGGGTGCAGCGGCAGGTGGACGAGGGAGGAGGAGAGGAGGTAGGTGGACGGGCGGTATGTACTGCTGCTGGTTTCTTGAAGGAAGATGTTCCGCTCCTGAGAGAGGGGAAGGGAGGAACAGGGAAAGTGGGAGTTGAGGACTCAGAAAAGAGTTATGGGGAGGGGCAGAATGGGTTGGAGAACGACAGGAGTCGTAGGAGGCATAGTAACAAGAGAATGAATAAATAAACTAGAAATTCAAATCTGTTGACTACTTGATTAAGCAAATGAAATGAAATGAACGAGAAGCTTACTTGGATGAAGATGGGAACTGCGTCGCAGGAGACGAAAAAGAGCACGCATATGGCGAAGGAGAAAAAGGCCAGCCGTTCCTGAAAACCCTTCATGCTGCAAAGGGGTGGGGTGGGGTTGGGTGGAGTGGGGTGGAGAGGGGTGTGATGGACTGGGGCGATATGGATGGGGTGGCAACCATATAGAAAGTAGAGAGAGGGGAAGGGAGGATACAGGGGAACAACAGGAGGAGGAGGTCAACCAAGGTGGCTGGGGCAGAATATGAATCAAGCACACTGGTGTTCACCAGAATATGATAGAGAATAGAGATAAGTAAATTGGTGAGAGAACAAACAAACAAACACCATTTTCACTTTCTTCCCCCAGCTCCCGAGGCTTTTTGTTTTTGATTTTGTTTATGTTTTTGTTTTTGTTTTTGTTTTTTCCCAAGTCCCTCCTTTCTCCCGCCAACACACCGCTCTCCTACTTACCCCTCCTGCTGTCTCGCCTCTCTCTCCTTCCCTTCCTGCTGACAATCCTGCTTCCCCCAGGATCTTCTTTCGCACTTCTTCTCGTCACCTTATCGTAACAACAATATCACTGTACCTGTCATTTGGTTGGAAGAAGATGGTCGCGAGCATTATCCCCGTAATAGCAATCAGGCCCAGTCGCAGAAGATACAGCGCGGGCGTGCGAAACGTGATCAGGGCATTCCGTCTCGTCAGCACCGCCAGCTCGGCCAACCATCCGTTACCATACTTTCGCGTTTCGTCAACCCTGCTTTCTCCTCGCCGCGTCTTCCCCCTTGCCCCTATTCTCCCCCACCACGTAGCCTTCCCGCTTTCGCCTTCCCGATTCGCAACTCCCGTCTCCACATCCTCGCTAGTGCCTCTCTCTTTTAGCACGCTCGGAAGTTGGAAATATCTGGAGTTCCAAACACTCGCCGTCGCGGTCGCAGCTCCTCCCGTTCTCGCATTTTCCGGCGATGCTGCTTCTGTGTTCAGGCCATGAACTTGTAAAACACCCTTTGATTGAGGGTTACGCCGCAGCACAGCCTGTTCTCCCAGCTTCCCTAGCTTCCTTTCCCGCTCCTCCTCTTCCTCTTGCTCCCTTTCATATTCCCGCGCAAAATGCACCAAATCCGCGACACCGCGGCTCGACCGCTGCATATCCTCGATAAGATCCAGCGCGAACTCTGTGCTGTTAGCGAACTGCGGCACGGGGAACCCGACCGACTCGAGGAAGCGCGGCAGCGTGGGAGGCGCGCCTTGAAAGACAGCGTGGCCCGACGCGAGGAGGATCAAACGGTCGACGAGGCCTAGAACGCGGAAGCTGGGCTGGGAGGGGGAGAAAAAAGGGGGGTTGGTTGGCGGAAAGGAAAGGTGAGGAGAATGGGGGATAGGGAGGGGGATGTGGGGAAGGGAGGGGGAGAGAGTCGGGATAAAGGTGATGGTCGTCCCGAGCACGTGGAAGAGGAAACGCGGTCGCACCTGGTGCAGCACCATGAGGAAGGTCGCACCTGGTGCAGCACCATGAGGAAGGTCGTACCTGGTGCAGCACCATGAGGAAGGTCGTACCTGGTGCAGCACCATGAGGAAGGTCGCACCTGGTGCAGCACCATGAGGAAGGTCGTACCTGGTGCAGCACCATGAGGAAGGTCGCACCTGGTGCAGCACCATGAGGAAGGTCGTACCTGGTGCAGCACCTTGAGGAAGGTCGTACCTGGTGCAGCACCATGAGGAAGGTCGCACCTGGTGCAGCACCATGACGGCGATGCTGTTCGTGTTGGTCGCGATGTCTTTAATCGCCCGCACCACGCGGAACGCGCTCGTCGAGTCGAGTCCCGACGTGGGCTCGTCCAGGAAGAGAATCTTCGGGTCGCAGATGATCTCTGTTCCGATCGCGACGCGCTTCCTCTCGCCACCAGACACGCCCCTGTGACAGGGTTTCAGTGACAAATGAGTCGAGGAGACTGAATTCGAGGGTTCGCGAATAACTCAGGACCTCTTTTGCAAAAATGCCCTCTCTTTTTTCCTTACCTCTGCCCCTCGTCCCCAATTTTCGTTTCCGCAACTTCCGTCAATCCAAGCAATTCGAGCAGCCGCGCCACCCTCGCCACCTTCTCCTCCCGCCTCACGCTCTGCGGCAGGCGAAGCTCCGCGGCGAACATCATCGTTTCGCGCACCTGGTCACCACACGCCGCGAAAAAGGTGACGTAGAATCAACACGTGTTTTGGCGAACAGAATGTTACGAAAGGACGACTGTGTGTCTCACATACCGTGAGCGACGGGAACATGAGGTCGTCCTGCATCACATACGCCGAAACTCGTCGCATCGTTCCGCTTCGCACGGGTAACCCGTCGAGCTCCACTTCGCCAGCTCGCCGACCCGATGCTATACGGCATGCCAAGATGTTCAGCAGCGTCGTTTTCCCCGCTCCACTCGCTCCCATGATCGCTGTGATCTGTCCCGATTTTGCGCTGCCGCTGATGTCGACGAGAATCCTACGGCTGGAAATACTTCTCACGCCAATTCGCCTGGAAATCGAGCGCTCAAAAGAGCGTAATCTGCTGCCAGCACCTGAAAAACTGTCTATGTCGTGGGCTGTCGGGCCTGCATCTCCTCCTAAATGGCTGTTTCCTGTTTTGAAACTGTTGGTGATATTGCCACTACCAGTGTGGCCAGCGTCGACGTGTATGTGGATTTCGTCGCTCGCCGCGCTTTCGTCGCTAGGCAACGGCGCGACTTTCGAAGTGTTGATCTTACAGCATGCGCTTTTTCGAGACCTCGATGCGACAGAGTGTGAAAGGTTACGAAACCGCAGAACAGATGTAACCCCAAAAGTTGCAAGCGAAGCTTCCACCATGTCGCCCACCCCTCCACCTCTTCCGCTCCCAGGGTCGCAATCGCGACCAGCCGCCGCGTGATCGCACGCCGATGACGATGGAGACGACGTCGCAGAGTCGTCTGGTGACTCATCCGACTCGGGATCGCGGGGAAACTGCAGCGGCCGTGTCGTCGATTGCCCGAGCCCCCCGAGCACGGGATTAGGCGCGCTGCCGATCTGATCTCTAGCAACGAAAGCATCTGTCGCAAGCGCGCAGCGTAACGGCCCTCTAGCGGCTGAGCTATCTGTCGCCGGTACGTGCCCCATCACGATATTAACCTGCCCGTAACCTCGTGCGAGGCCATCATGGGCGGCGTCCGTTGTCGCGAGGTCCATGGCCAGCCCAGCATCGGGCGGCGAATTCGCGGATGGAAATCCGTCTTGCGTCCACGACCTCTCGCCGGCCACGGTAGCCATTACTATGAACGTATATTGTACGTAATAACCTGGTTCCGATCCAGTGAATACCTTCCGATTTACCTCAAACGTTTCAATCCACACCTTGGCTGCAACCTGAGTTTAGAAGTTACGGTCAGCTAGCCCAAGGGCACTAGATTAGCGATATTGTTAATAGCGCCTCATACTGAAACATGATTTCTGTCAGAGGAAGCATTACCACTGTCATGGTGTAATCAAACTTCTGGCACGACTACGATGACTTCGTGCCACGACCTTGCCCTTGTATGGCGGTTGTAGGTCGGTTGATGGGTATACTGAAGAGATCGCGAGTTCACTATACAAAGGAGGCGTAACGACAGGCAAAACCAGGACGGACCTACCACGATCTAAGTCCAGACTTGTTGTAGGACGTTGGATAATGTGATGAGGTCTGTCCCTGTCAAAACAAGCTGGAGTTTGCCGACATGGCCCCTCTTTGCTGAGGGGGAACATGGAACTGGATGTTGAGAAATTTGTTGGGAAGCTTGGGAATTTTGATATTGCATGGAATCCGCGGCTCGAATTTTCGCTTGTTGCGGTACGGGTTGTGAAAAAACTGACATGATTTATGGAAGCGCCAGATGGTCGAATCGGACGGCTGAGAAGGATGGATACACTACGAAAGTGCTCGTTCGAGGGGAAATATCATTGGCGAGTGCGACCGGCGAACCGCAGGTTTCTAAATTGCACACGTGGACATGCTGGTGCTTCCCCTCCGTCGCGCTCCTCGGGAAGATTCTGACTCACCCACCCACAAGCCCACGTCGTGGTCAGGCCACACACACATTTTGGGAAGCTCGCTATAGAGACATTTGCATATTTTTACAAGGATGGCGTGATAGAACAAGGTTTGCACTTTTTAGCATCATCACACACCTAAAGAAGCTTGCAGTTCTTGTATGTTTCCAAGGTACCAGTATGGAATTTGTCTGAAATGCACAGAGCTTCTCTAAAATAAAAATATTTGTAAAATATGTACCCTGTCTACACGCCAATGGTTATTGTTAGATTATTCTTCATAAATGTTTATTTGTAGCTAAGCAACAATTTTACACAGCTTGTAGACAAAACCGACGTGTTCAGTAGCGAGCATTATGTCTGGATGCTACACTTACAGCTGTTCTCTGGACCGCGTTCCTTGAGCCCCTGCTTCGTTCGATCAATGCTAGGAAATGAAGCTGAACTGCGTTCGACGAGCGGCGAGAACCACACCGACTCGAAACCAAAGGTGTACTTTGAGCTACTTATCTGTTTCCTGCCCAGTGCGTCGCAAAATCAATTCGGGTTCATATTGTGCCTGCATTTGAAACATCGTTCCTGGAAGACCAATGGACACATCTTCAGAGCGAACTTTCCATACCCCAAGCCTTGTGAATGCATGTCCAGCGCGAAATCTAGTCAGATTTGCCCTGCTTGGGCTCTCTGAAGGTGAGCCAAGAGGGCCCTCGTTGCTGCTTCGTCAGGTTAGTCATGGGAGAAATCGAAAGTAGGAAAAAACACATCAGCCATATTCCCAGCTTAGACAAGGCCTAAAGGATCTCGATTCTCAGTGAGATGATCTCCTATATGATCAGGAGGAGCTGAGATTGTGAGATTCGTATATGAGCAACTTTTCATAGCTCTGGGGAAGGAGATCTCGTTTCATAGCTTCACTCCTTTCGATCAGTCTGTGAAAGTTAGATGGAGCGTCTAGCACACGTTAACGGACTTTCAGATGACCTTCTTACGAAGATTTTATGGTTTCAGGATGGGATGCCTTTCAAAACGGGTTCTGATTCTTCATGCGACTCGCTTGCTCATTGGCATTTTGGGGCGAACAAGCTTACTTCTCCAGCAGATGCAGCTTACAATCTTCTCATTGCATCCGTATGCAATCGATGGCGCGATCTAGTTAAATGTCAGGTCACCAGCATGTTAGTCCAAGATAACATTTTCGTATCTTGTCAAGATCTGGCCAGCGCTGTCGCTTGTTTCGACAACCTCACGAATCTTCACCTTAGCGACGGCAGTGTCGACATGATTGACAACGCTTTTCTCGCTCGCCTTGCTTCGTCACGGCCTAAGCTGAAAGCTCTTCACGTGGGCCGCGGGATCGCACCGATGGAGTGTGGAGGAAGCAAGGATGAGCATCCAGTTACTGAAACCGGCTTGGAGATTCTCTTTCTCAACTGCACTCAGCTGAAGGAAATAACACTTCACTGCCTTCATAAAGATACTGACTTGCCAGATTCTTTCTTTCAGCTGCAGCATCTCCACACAGTTTCTCTAAGCAACGTTTCAGCCCTGACATTCCCCAGATTTGGAAGACTTTCTTCTCTCACATCCCTCCATATTACCGTTTCCAAACTGACACATCAGCAGTTGTCTAGCCTCTCTCGCATTCCAAGACTTGCCAGACTCTCGATCTCCAGTGAAACCTGCCTTCCTAAGATTGATCTCCCAGCTGCAATTTTCCCAGTAGCTCAGCTTCCTTGTCTCAATTCTCTTGAGTCCCAGATTCCCAGTCTCAGCTTCGCTTCAATGTTCTCTACAGGATCACCGTGCATCCGTCTAGAACAGCTAGTGATCTCCAAATCCGCCAACCTCCACCGTCTTCCCAATGACACTGGAGAGCTTTTGCCGTGCCTGCATCAGCTGACCATTCGCGATTGTTTCCGGCTCGACCAACTCCCGGATAATATCGCAGCCCTAACTGGATTAGAGTGCGTGACCATTACCAGGTGCTATCGGCTTCGCTGCCTGCCGGAGGACTTTGGACAGCTGCCTGCTCTCAAGACACTGATGCTGGAGAACTTGCATCTCCGCAAGCTTCCTGACTCCCTCTGCCAAGCTACATCTTTGGAAAAGCTGTTGCTGCATGACTTGCATTGGTTCGAACAGCTCCCAGCAGATTTTTGCAGCCTCACATCACTCAAGACGCTTAGTGTAAAAAGCACTTGGCTGAAGGTGCTTCCTGAGAGGATCGGATGGCTCAGCAACCTCGAGACTCTACACCTGCATCATTGCACAAAGCAGCGGCTCTTTCCTTCTTTTGCTCAGCTGATTTCTCTAACGAGTCTTGAGCTTGGCAAGTGTGCAGTTAATGTGCTTCCCGAGGGTCTGGACAATCTGATTAACCTGCAACATCTGAACATTCATGACTGTGAAGCTCTCAGGGAGATACCGGATTCCATTACAGGCCTCACTAGCCTTGTGACCTTGATCATTGAGGGTTGTCAACAGCTCTCTTTGCTGCCAAAAAGGCTAAGTAGCCTCATGGAGCTGAAGTGTTTCAGGATAACGAAGTGCAATCAACTCTGTGAGTTTCCCATGTCGCTGCCACTTTCACTTGAGGTTATGTCTTGGTTCGGCAACGGTCAGGCTGATTCACCGCGTCAGAATTCCCTGCCGCCTTGCCTGAGGCACTTGGGACTGGGGTTGGCAGACAACGTCCATGAGTTTCCGATTCCCTTGGGATCACTTTCTCAGCTTCGCATCTTGAGTATCCTTGATGCTAACATGATTCAGACCCTCCCACGAAGCATCGGTTCAGCTTTGCAGCAGCTACGGGATTTGCAGATTTTCGGCTTCAAAGAGCTTAGGGAGCTGCCTGAGTCAATGTCACAGCTCCACCACCTGACATCATTAGAGGTGGTAGCACCCAAGCTGACCTCAATCCCCGATGGCATCTGTGCATTAACCAGGTTGCGTGACTTGGATCTATCAGGGTGTAAGGACCTGCAGCAGCTACCATCTTCGTTCACGCAACTTCGCTGCCTCTGCATGCTTAAGCTTGAAAGGACTTCCATCAGCTCCCTTCCTCCCAGATTTGGTCAGCTGACCCGGCTGAGGATGTTCAGCCTGTTGGGCTGTGAGCGGTTGAAGGCCTTGCCAGATGATTTGACGGAGCTGAAGGTGCTGCAATACTTGGATATTAAAGGGTGCAAGCAAGCAATTGATGGCATGTCTCGTGCATTGCGCCATGGCCTTCGGGACATGCATGGGCTGACCTTGGTTAAATACTAGCACGGCAGCAGTACTGTGGTGATCATGTTTCATTGGTTGATGTATGGTAGCCATGTTTCCTGTTTGGTAACTAGCTTTCGTCACAATTACGGTAGTTATCAGAATACGGTGAATTCAAGAAACATGGTATGGATGTGTGAAATTAGTCACGTTTCTAAATGCAAACACCACTGCAGCCTGTTGATACACCGTATTACATTCTGCACATCAGAGCACCAAAGTACGCTGAGAGTGGTGCCCTATACGCAAGCAAAGAAACTTTGGTAGTTGCCCCGTACCGTCTATTCTCCACACCTGAGTGTAGAATGTAGACAGCCATTGGGGTTAAACAAAGAAACAATGTTGGTCATGTGAACAGGATTTTATGCTCAGATGGTCATGCACTGATGGTCATGCACTCATGCTCATGCACTCATGCTCATGCACTGATGCTCATGTGCTGATGCTCATGAACTGATGCTCATGAACTGATGCTCATGCATGCACGATGCTGCAAGGCCCAATACCCCCCAAAGCTTGCTGGAGGAATGTCAATGACTGTTGTGCATGGGAAGCAGGGATGGTGAGAGGAAAGGGTGAGGCGGAGGGATAAAGGGGAGGGAGGGAAGACGAAAGAGAGGGTGAACAGAGGGCGATTGACTAAGATACATACGGTAACTTACGCATTTGCCCAATCAGGACCTGGCAGTGTTTCCTTGCCTTGCTCTCACCCCCCTCACTTCCAACTCCTTCACCTTCACTCCTCTCTCCCACTTCAGTCATGCCTTCATGCTCATGATGCCTTTTCATTCGCATCATGCCTTTCCATGCTCATCATGCCTTTCCATGCTCATCATGCCTTTCCATGCTCATCATGCCTTTCCAT